AATTTTTATTTTAATAATGTTATTATATTCTATATCATAAAAAAAATATATTATATAATAATAATTTTTTTATATTAAATATAATAATAAATATATATTATATTGTAGTTATATATAATATATTATAGTATAATATAATATAGTCGTAATTTTTAATTATCTACAGTAATTTAACCTCATAATTTACCAAATGTTATTACATTGATTTTAGAAGCAGCACAGCTACTATAATTATAGTTTACCACACTTAGTTGCTTTTTGTAACAGCTGATTCTTCATTCAGCACAACTAAAAGTAATTTTTCTAAAATCTACAACACTACCAAACTAAGTTATAGTTTCCAATATTTATCTGAGCAAAATTTAACTCCCAAAAGTACCATTTAACAGCGACCTAATTAATGGTCAAAGACACACCTAATTAACTCCAAATTTTAACTTTTAACTTTGAAGGGATCTCTTATAATTTGGAGTTAATTAACCAGTAGATTAATATTCGCGTTGGTCCCTTTTAATTACAACTAATTAATTAGATAAACTACTAGATTAGTGCATGGAGAACTTATTGTTACAACTAGAGGACAACTGAATTATTTTCTGTTATCCGCGGCCACGTCCAAAGTACCATTTAACAGCGACGCATCACCATTCCCTTCCCAGAACTTGTTTGGAGTGACACCAAACCGCGTAGGATTCCTAGTGGGGAAAGAAAGAGATGAAATTCGTGGAATACCCCGTGTCATTGCCTTCAATCTCTCTCATTTGGGCATACAATTATATATAGAAAGAATTAAGTACATTTATACTCATGTGTAGAAGACACTCTAAATTACATACAGTAAAATTCTCGTCTTCTCCATCAAGCCTCATCTGGATCAAATCAGAACCACCAGATCCCCACGACAACAATGAACCTTGAATCCAATTCTACTGTTGTTGACATAGACTCGTTAACAAGTCCGGTAGATGGTTCTGAAGAAGCCTCGAACTCATCAGGACACATGGTCTCAGCAGTTCTGAGCCGTCAAATCATAACTGAGAACAGTACTACTCATCATAACGAATCATCGTCATCAACCTCCACTGATCATCATGATGAGAAGAAGAAGGTGATCTTTTTGTGCGATGGTGGTGAGTACTCCAGCACCAACCATAATTCCTCTTCCTCCTCCGTCAACAGGGGCGGCGCTACTCCACGACACGCAATGACTTACAACTCTGGTCAGTCCAATTCTCCACGTGATCAGATCCGCCAAAACCACAACCCTAGTAGTAATTTGGATGCCTTTATGAAGTTTCTTCGAGAGCACGAGTTGTCGAAGAATCTAACCCAGGTAGCTATTGCCGTAGTGGCCAGCCTTTACGGAACCTCGGAGGCTATACATCCGAACATGAGAATGGCACTAGTTCTGCTTCTGTCCGTTGGTTTACAGTGTTTTTGGTGTGGAACCCTACGGCGTAACATGAGGGCTGAACTGCTGGGGCAGGTTTTGATAATCGCAGCGTTTCACTTGCTTTTGGTGAACTTGATGCTGCCTTCGCCGTTGGCTTCAATACCCGTGCTAACTTTCATCGCCTTCCTAATAACTCTCGGAGTCCATTTCCGCAATGAACTGTGGTCAGGTTGAGAACAAGATCATGAGGAGTTGGTGAATTGTTTCTCTCAAATTGTTCATAGTTTACATGTCAAAGTAGTAGGTACATGTATCCTTTTTATGGACCGTTGGTTCATAGATTTGAACAGAAAGTTGTAACAAAAAAGAATAAATTGTAGTTCAAATCCGACTTCTGTGGCTGGAAAATCTCCTGGGAACTTTGATGGAATGGAGAATGAAAGGAATATTTTGCCATAGACTGGTAGATATTTTAATTGTTTATACACTACTGTTTTTTACTCCCATATATGAGCATATAGCCTTAAGAGGGAGCATTAAGCTCTTAAGTGGCACTTGGCCAATGGCCATAGCCATAAGTTAGTCCCTTTTTCCACCACATGCAATATATTCGACGGTACAATTTTACAGCAGTTTTCGACGAACCCTCCTCCTCATCATCATTCCATGCATTCATTCTAATGCCTCTTGCACGACTTTCTCCAGTGACTGCTGATTTTCTGTGTGGCACGTGCATACTGCAATGAATTTCAGTGTTCCTTTTTTTTTTTTTGCTAATGAAATTCCAGTGTTCATTTACCTCCAAAATGTTACAGATATCAGGGGTGTGAGAGAGAGAGAATAGAGGAAGTTCAAGTTTTGTAAATAAGTAAGAAAAAGGAGTCTGAGTTAATTTTAATTTTACCATGAAAGAAACAAAAAAAAAAAGTAAAATTCCACAGTTATGAATTGGTACAATTTAACAGGATAACAGAAGATTTCCCTGCTTTAGGGTTCAAATGGACGGTTTCCATATACAATAATGTCACTCCCAAGAAAGACCAAACCAGTTAACACACTACACCCAGATTACAAAACCGATCCCTTAGCAATGATTAAGTTTGCAGTTTGCACCAACTATTGGATTACTAGTCCGTGGGATATCATGTATTCACTATGAAATTCCACAACACCCATGTCATATGTTTCTTCGGCCTTGTTTTGAGTAGTAAAATTTAGAGCATATATGAAATTTGTTTTGTTTTCATGATATTCAAGATACAGAAAAGAGCAAGTTAAACCATTTCACTTTTAAAATTTAGAGAATATAGAACAGAAAAGAGTCTCAATGTCTCTGCTTTAGAAAAGCCAACCATAAAAATACATAAAATCCTACATTCATAATATGTTCTTTTAAACGCAATTACAGGCAAAATTGTCACCATTTAATGCTTTTCACTCATCAAATTCTAACTACCTTACCCAAAATTACTAACTAATAGTAATACTAGTTCAGAGGCTACTAATAAAGAAAGGGCCAGATACATTATCAGATTTTGGAAATTTCCAGTTTTCCACTGCAAAATACCAGGGAATTGCTCATCAAAAACGACGTTCTTAACTGGAACCCAAAAAAAAAGTAATTTAAACCATTTCACATTTACAAAGTAATTTAGCACACATTTGGTTTTCATGATATTCAAGATACAATATTTCAGTGTATCATTTGCTCATATGTGTATATGCGTAAGTTAGAGAATATCAATATTAGAGACATTTCATTCAACAGTCAAAAAAACACTAGAAATTTCACATTCAGAACAAACAAAGAAAGAAAACAAAAGTTCCATTTCCAAAATCCACGGAAGAACTCTGGAGAAATTACACTGAAATTTCTAGCCTTGTTTCTTCTTGTTAGGGTTGAACATATCGTCAGGAACAACCTTAAGCAGCTTCTTCTCCTTCGATTTAGCGATCCTCTGCAGCGTCTTGGGATTCGTGATCTTCTGGAGCTTCGTACCAGACCTCAAGATGTTCTCTTTCTTCCTCTTCTCTCTCTCCTCCCTCAGCTTCCTTTTCTCCTCCTTGTTCCTCCTGATCTCCTCCTTAAGCTCCTCCTTCCTCTCTCTGTACGCCCTCTTCACCTCCTTCTCTCTCGCCCTCTCCTCGAAATTTGGCCCCCTTCTCACCAGCGCCGCAGACGCCCGCCGCTTCCTCGGCTGCTTCCACTTCCGCCCGGAGACCTTTCCGGCGATCACGCCGTCGTAGGTCGGCTTCCCAAAGGTAGGTTTGTCGGGATTCTCCGACGACGCCACCGCCGATCTCTTTGCCGCCGGCGGGAATTCCCCGTCGACGTCCATGGAGGCGTCGGCATCGTTAACTTCGTTGCATTGGGACTGTCTCTTGCGTTTGTAGGTTTTGCCGCCAAAACCTTCGTCGAGGCACCGAAAATCGATCGTGCACGCCATTGTTGTGTAAACCCTAGCTCCATTTAGGCATTATATACAGAGCCTGTTGGGCTCAATTGATTGCGCAAGTTGGACCTCAGGACCCGGCTGGTCTTGAGAACATGGGGCGGAGTTGAGGTCCAAATTTATTTGTCGTTTCTTTGACATTTTGTTGTTTTCTTATAGTTTATGTTGTTTGTATCTCCATGTCGTTTTCTTCCATATTTTATTGTCGTTTTGTTAGTTTACGTTGGTTTCCTCTGGTCACATCGTTTTTTTCCCCGAATTCTATCCCTACGCCGTTTCTTTGATGTTCTATAATCCATTTCGTATTGATGCTCTCGCTATGTTTTCATCGTTTTTTCGTATTTCTCCTTTTGAGTTTACTGTTGTTTTTGCATTGACATCGGTTTTTTTTTTTCTAATCTTTTTTCATTGATATTGGGTTTTAGGTTATTGTCGTTTCTATTTGATATTGGGTTTTAGGTTATTGTCGTTTCTATGAGATTTAGTAGTTTTCTCCTATATCTTGTCGTTTTTCAGTTTCCGTCGTTTTTGTGTTGGTATATTGTTTTCCGGGGTGCTTTACTAGCCTACCAGTTATACAGTCTTTATTTTTTTCTTATCAGTTAATGTCGTTTTGGAGCTTTTGTGGGTTTTTCTTTGATTTTTTACTTTTTCTCATAATGTTTATCGTCGTTTATACGGGGGTATTAGTTATTACTGTTTTGTAAATCCATGTCGTTTCCTTTGGTTATCGTTTATGCTTCTGTCGTCGCTAAATAAATGTAGTGTTCACATGTCGTTTCCCCACATGATGTTGTTTTTTCATTTTGTTGGGGACCAGATGGGTTTAATAACGTCCACTTATTTTATCCTTTTTTATTATTACAATTGAATTATTGCAGCCTTTGTTGCATACGCTACATTATTGCTCCCCACTCCAAGAGAATACACTTTTTTTTTTTTTTTTTTTTTTTTTTTTTTTTTTTTTTTTTTGCACTAGACAACAAAAGGCATAAATGCACATTATAGAAGTTCAATAATAGACCCTATATTATTACTCATTGAAGAAACAAAACGCAACAATATGAATGTTCCAAGCCTAAGTCTAAAAGAACTAGCCATTACAGTAATACCAGATTACAACAATGGGAAATAATGCCACATCTTCGATCCTAATCTGACGGATGAGATGACGGTTAACAAGAGACAACTTCCCGTCGGACAAAAACTGATGAACTAAAATGCAAAATTTCTTGCGATATTTAGTTTCAACATGACATATGAAAGAATCGAATGCCCCTTTTATAACAATGAGAGAACAGCACCGTTCTCTGACTTAGAACCCAGTTCAGAGATGTCGCTCTCAAAGAAAGCCTGGTGAAGAGCCCTAACACACTGCTCTGCTTCATCGTCGTTTACAATCAACGAGATGTTGACCTAGCCCAATACAAAGCACAAATAGTGAGCAGTCATGCGGCCGAAAACTAAATTCATAAATGTTTACAAATAAGAAATAACTAATGCAGATATGAAAGCATCGTCAGACCAGAATATCAATTAATTAGTAAAGGTGATTGAAATATAGTTATCGAGACTAAACCTTGGATGCGCCTTGAGATATCATCTGAACATTGACTCCATTAGTTCGAAGAACGTTGAATACCTGTTGAAAAATACAAAGAGTGAAAACGAAAATCTAACGCTAATGGTTTGTGAACAAAAGCTCTCCTATCATGACATGTCAGCAGAAACCTTTTCAAGTATTAACGATGATCTCTGCACGTTCCCAATGAGAGAGATGATTGATCTGTGCTGAAGAAGGTTGACGACAGCAATTTTCTCCAGTTCTTCCACGACATGGTCAAGTTCCTGCCAAACATAAGAAAGCATTAGCTTCAAGCACTAAAAAAAAAAACAGAGAGATTTTAAAAGAACAATTATGCTGCTAAGCATTCGCTTATATGCAGATTTTGAGAGTACAATTATGAATGCATGCTAAGCATGACGTCATACGCTTGCCTGCTGAATAAGCTCTCTGCTCCAAAGCTTTGAGGGATCCAATGTCAAAGATATACTAACTTCACTAGTAGCTACAACATCTACGGATATGCCCAAATCTTCAAAAATTGAAAACACCTGGTGGGAGAAAAACATATCACCATTAGATTCATTGTCACAAGTCACCAAACAAAGATCACAAAGGTTACAGAAAACATATATTGGCTTTCTTACCTTAGCAAGGAAACCAAATTGACCAAGCATGCGAGTGCTGACAATATCCAACATGGTCACATTCCGCTTCAAAACAATGCTAGTAAGTACTGCCTGCAGATGAGAAAGGTAAAAAAATAAATAAATAAATAAAATCAATAGACAAGAGGATGAATGTTGTTTTCACATATTACACAGTTACAGTATTCTTGTTTTTTTTTTTTTGACACTATGTGATTACACACCTTACTCATATCTCTTGTCCGGGTGATGAGAGTGCCCGGAGCTTTAGGGTTATAAGAATTCTTAACCCTTACAGGAACATCACCTTCTCTAGCTGGTCTCATGGACTGTGGATGCAAGACCTGAAAAGGGAACAAAATAATGTATAAAATTCATGTTTATTTCTTACATAGAGTTTCACTAGAAGTATCTTTTTCTGGCGTGACGGATCAAGTTTAACACCATTAACTGGAAATATAGCAAGGATCAATATAAACATGAGATATGGTTACAGCACGTCTAAATTTGCAACTACCAAGTCTAGAAAACATAGAATGTGATGTAGTGGGGTGCGGCTGCATAATAAAATAAGTTTATTGTTCATACGTCATAGCAAGTTTGAGTAACTTAATCATCTTCAATTCCCTAATATTTTGCGGCTGCCATAAATTGGACTGGTAAATTCATATATTAAAAAAGTGAGAGAGAGAGAGAGAGAAGCCCACGCACATAACCACTCAGTACCACCCAACAAAGACATTCATCCTAATCAAAGAGTAATAGACTTACATCCATGACCCCTTAGACAGGAATTGGTCTATTATCAACCACATAACGCAAGTGAAGCTGGAAAGTTTACTTCCAAAACTGGGTTAAAGGTGAAAGATTTATTGATACCTGAGCACCAAAGTATGCAAGTTCAGCAGCTTCATCAAATGTCAAATAAGGGACAGGTTCTGCGCCAGGGTATATGTTAGGATCACAGGTTAAAACACCATCAACATCCTTCCATACCTGCAATAGATTGATGATAGGTCTTATACTTTAGTTATCTCATATCTGAACAGAAAAGGTATTTATGCAGAGATGCAAAATAGAATTCCAAATTCCAGTCGACATTTTTTATAAACTTTAAAACTGCTGTAGTATCAAGTTTTACAGGTCAGAAATAAATAGAGATTTTGAATGTTTGTGTCTACACAAAGTCTAAGACTATGATTTCTCTTATATAAGAAACGAAACAAATAAACGAAAGGAGAATCTAATATAATGAATAGAGATCAGAAAAGTTTGAATGTCACCTGAATTTCCCGCAACCCCAATGCTTTACCAAGGGTTGTGGCTGTCAAATCACTACCACCCCTACCCAGTGTAGTCACCGCACATGACCTCCATCCCTACAGCAAGAAAAGAAAAGACTAATCATGTTAACAAGTTGAGTTTCATCATCAAAAGAGCACAAAGTCGTTAGCCAGCTGAAATACCTTTCCAAGGAAGCCGGTAACGACTGGTATTGCAGGACCATTTATCCAATCACTATGTAACCTTTTTGCAACAGCTGGATAGGTGGCTTCCATAATATCCGCATTTGTGAAGTCATCTGTGGTTATAAAACCAATTTCAAAGGCATCATACTGCAAAATAACAGAATTTGTTATAACTTGCTATTATAAATAATGGCCCAACCAGTAGACAACTCTAAAATCACAATTGCATAACTGAAATAAGTCATTATAATTTTGATTAGTTCATAAACAACATACTTGGCGGGCTTTAACACCAATCTTATTCAAATAAGCTGCAAAAATCCTTGTTGACATGCACTCTCCAAATGAAACCAAATAGTCTTTTGTCCGTAATGTCAACTCCTTCATCATAGCAATTCCCTTAAGAAGTTGCTCCAATTCTTCCAAAAATGCTGCAAATCGTTTTTTTCACAGTAAGAATCAACCAAACCTACATATTGCAATTAATTACTGATAGAAGAAATGTCAAGTGGAAAGAAAGACTCACTTTTGATGGTAGACTTATCCATACCAAGTTCATTGACCGTCCTGGATTAAACATTACAATCTACAGTGAGAAGAAAAAAAAACCTAAAATGCAATTTTGGTTTTTAGTAGTCTATAATAATAAAGGATTAAAAAAACCCTTTCTTGCCTGCGATGCAAATCTCTTATGAAACTCAACTCCTCTATAGTGGACACATTAGTAATGCCGCAACTGACAGCTTTCTCTCCAGCCTAATAATGAATGACAAACCACTTTTAGTTGAACCGTAACACAGACCCATCAAGGAAGTAAATAGACATAAAATATCAATATTTCCCAACATTATCGTATATATATATATGCAAATATCACAGTTTACAAATATGATTTAATTTTTAATTTTTAACCCCATCGGATCAATGTAGATATTAGTCAACGATATTTCTCCAAATCCGAAGCCTTGATATTCTTGTTGCTGCGACATTTTCATCATTCATACCAATTGACAAAGAAAAGTAAAGAGTGTGAGAGAAACCAAATATACCAGCAAAAGTTTGTTGGTTGTCTTGCCCATAGCGGAGAGAACAATGACAGGTCTCTCCTCTGGGAAACTAAGTATAAGCTCAGCCACTTCTTTCATCCTCTCTGCAGAGGCAACAGACGAGCCTCCAAACTTCATGACACACGTAAACTGCTTCTCATTTTCACCCAAACTCGGATTCTCCAACTGGGTTTTTCTTTCTATCACATCCACAACTCCTCCAGCTTCGCAACTGACTCTTAAAACTCCACTCCTACAAGACTGTTTTTTGGCAATTGTACACCATCCCTTGTAGTTGGAAGACACAGAAGTTGAGAAATGGAGGCGATGAGACGACGCAGGTGGTTGTTGCAGAGACTTCCATGAGGAGGCTCCACAATACTGCAATGAGGTCTCCATTCTTATAAAAGAGTTGAATCTGACTTATAGTTATTATTGCGACAAAGGTTTTTCGACGAATTTGAATCAAAATGCAATTGTTTCTTCAGATTTGGGGATTTTGTTTCTCAGAGTTTCCGATAAACAGAAACAACAATCTTTTTCAGCAGCTCAACCTGCGAAGAACACCACAAACACGACTCGAGCATCGTCAAAACAGGGACTTAAAAACAAACACATAAATCAAAATGCAGCTTTTATATTCATTTAGTCATTGTGCAATCATGAAGGCGATATTTTTCCAACATAACGCAAGAAGAATATAACGCAATAAGGTAAAGAAAGATACTTCAAAAAAAAAAAAAAAGGCAAAAAAAAGGTAAAGAAAGAACCACAAATCGAATAGCTTCAAAAACAAACACTTCCATATAAAATGAAATACATGAATCAAAATGTACTTTTTTCCATTTAATGATTGCAATTACAGAGGTTGAATCTGTCGAACATTCAAAGAGAAAAAATAAACAAAAACGAAGCAATTTCAACAGCTGTACAAATCGAATATCTTCATTGCATCAAAATGCACATATTTTCCCTACTTCCCCCATTTAACCATTACAAATATTACATTTAACGAACATTTAAAGAAGAAGAAAAAAAAAACAACAAGAAGAGGAAAAAGAGATAGAAAAAGACGTTCAAAATACCGAGCTGCCAAGAAATGAATGGCAAAAATTGACTCCAACAAAAAAAGATCAGAGCTTCAACAATGGAGGTAGAAGAAGGTGCTTTAGGGTTTATGCGAGAGAGAGAGAGAGAGAGAGCTAGGCCGCCGTCCACTTTAGACCGCGAGCAAGCTTCAACGTTTCTCCCTCTCTCGGAAAGAATGTAATAGAGAGGAGAGAGAGAGAGAGAGAGAGGAAAATTTAATTGATGTTTGTAATTTGTAAATATCAAATCTTTAACCCAATACTCGCCGCCTCCCTTTCTAATGAACCTCATTTCCACTTGCTAATAAACGTGCTTTTTATTTGTTCTATTTTCTATTTTGTTTTACGTTTTTTCATCAAATCCCTCCTGTGGGCCGTCTGTCCCGAAGTTTCTGACGAACCAAATGTGAGAGAATTGACTGTCGTTTGTTGGGTTTGGACGGTTCGTGTAATGACCCTTTTCTGGTCAAACCCATGCCAACTGATGCCACGTGTCCGACTGGTTTGCCACCTTGTTAGCCCACTTTCACATTTATGAAAATATATATATTATTTATCAATGATTCAATGTTAGGCCATCACAAGCACAACATTACTGTCAATTGTCAATTATCAATTATCTACGCGTTTTTATCGACCAAACATATTAGTTAACATTACTGTATTTTTTTATTATACAAATACTAACGTGGTTTGCGTTTAATGTATAATTTCGGTTTTTTTTTTTTTGAAGGAATGTTCGGTGATTTTTTTTATTCCATTTCAAAAAAAATTTTATTTTTATTTTTTAATTTCGTGAGTGTACTTTGAAAGTGTGATCCGACGTGGACCTCTGTCCTCGGGAGGAAGAGGGGGTGGAATAGTATATACGCATTTTTTTTATGCATGCATGTTTAATTTACTGATTTAAATTTTTAATTTGAGTTGAGATATAATTTTATATGAGAACTTTTTATTATAATAAAAAAATTAGATATAATTATTTTTAAGAGTTTTTTATTATAACAAAACTCAAATTATAAACTCAAATCGGTGAAATGAACAGTGCCTTCATAAGTATAGTGTGGAATTGGGATGAGTAAAATTCAGGTGGTCCCTGAACCACTTTAATGATGTGGTCTCATGTGGTCTCCACCAATCCCCTGTTTAATTCTCTTGAAAAATAAAATTTCATTTATTTTATTTATTCGAGTTTTCAATTCTAATTTTATTACAATTAAAAGCTCTTATAAAAAGTCATTTTACTCTTACAAAAAGTCATTTTTAACTTTTTCTATTACAATTAAAAATTCTTATAAAAAATTAAATATTAACTCCAATAACGAAGCCTAAATCAACATCAAATCATTAATTACGTCATCTAGTTCGGATATCTCATTAATTGTTTCACTAAGTCTAACATAAGATTGAAAATTAATTACCGGTGAGACAATCTCTGCAGAAAATTACAGTACATGACAAATTGACAATGAAAAAAAAAATCTACCTTTTTCGTCTTCTTCTTTTTTACCTCTTGTTACGTAGCAACGCTTTTACACATATATGCATGTGTTAAATGATCATGGGCCAATTTTGTAGTGCTATAAATTGTATTAAAAAATAATTGTTATAAAAAGTAATTGAGTGTTTAGTAAATTATAATAATATAAGTATTAATTTTAAGGGTATTATGAAAGTTTCATTAATTGTACTTTAAAGTGATTGCCGCACAATCTAAAAGTTAAAATTACATTTAGGCTGCTTCTGATTTTGACTGTAACTTCTTCAAAAATTATTTAAAAATCATTTTTTATAATTTTTAGTAAATATAAATTTTTTAATTGTAGATTACTAGATAATTGATTTTGAGCTTCAAAACTCAGTACCAAACATACCTCATGTAACTTCTTCAATGCTCTTTAAGGTTGGCAACCCGCAATCAAATGATCCGCTCTCTCATTAGTTGAGGTGTAATGTTAAAAGTATTGAATGCGATTTTAGTCAAATCTCACATTACTTCGGTTGTCCAAAAAACTCAACAAAATGTAACTCGAGTTTAAATTTTATTCAAGTTCATGTTCTTTTAAGTTTGAACTCGAGTTTGGGACTAAAACTCGAATTCAAGTGTCCCCTTCACCTCGAGTTCAGAAACTCGAACTCAAATTAATGAACAGTATTTTTTATATTCTTAAAAATATTATAACTTTTTTGTTTTAATCCTGATTGAGATGATTTTTTTCTATGCGTTGACACCGAAAAGACAAATAAAACCCCACCCATATACCCTAGTAAAATTTTTCATCACCATTGAGTTTTTATTAAAATGATATCTAAATACAAATTTAAGTTTTGACTCACTCAAATACAAACTCAAAAAAAGATTATTATCTCAAACCATAATTCAAATGTACACAACTAAACACAAACTCAAGTTACAACTTCAACTTAAGTTATAATTCAAATTCAATTTAAAAATTATACTAAAATCACATTCCAAAAGAACAGATTCTAAGCTACTTGTAGTAGTACTACTTTTGTTGGAAATACAAATAATATACTACTTTGTGACCTTTTATGTGCCAATACTCCATTATTTCCTTGTTAAAAAAATGTCCTTTTAGTTTTTTCTTTTAAATATGTATATGTATACACACACATGGGTGCATACAATGTTATTTTATGTTCCATAAACGACGACAAAAGACAACCACCACTAGAACGCCACTTGAAATGTTACAAACTCATGATGTCATTGTTTCTTCTTTACCGCCGCTTATTTGGTAATCTGTATTTGTCATTCCATAAACGATTTAAGAAAAATCTAAATGGTGTGCCACAAAATAGTATTCAACTTGGCTCACATCTCATCTGATATAATCTAATTATAATAAGTTGACACGTGAAAATGATTTTCCTTTCAGTTATAATAATAATCCCCCTAGTTTTGTTATTTGCAAGAGCCCTTTCATCCAACATCAACACTCAACAGCGGGCCGGGCCTTATTCTCAAAATCTGCAGGGGCAGGGCCACTTTACTTTAGAAAAATAATAAAAAATAAGTCAATATGAAAAGTTTAAGAAAGTATATATATCAATTTTTAGTTATAAAAATTAATAGGTCATAACTTATCAAGTTATGGTTCATAATTAGATAAGTTATGGATAAACTTATCAAGTTATGATTCATAGTCAGACAAATTATGGACAATTATAGAGAATAACTTGTCAAGTTATGGTTCATAACTAGACAAGTTATGGACGAAAACAGTAATTTAGCCTATTTCTTAACTTATGTAAACTATTGGCCTATTAATTTTAATTCATCTCAAATATTGGCCTATTTTCCTCTTTCTCCCTTTACTTTACACTACTCTCATTCATAGGTAGAAGAATAGTAATATTTACACCCTAAAATTGATAGATACTCCCAATAATTAATACTTATTTAATAATAAAATTTTGAAAAATCTATCATTTTATATATATTATTTTCACAATTCCTAATTTAACCCTCTCATACACCTACTCTAATTTTAATTTTGATTTGATTTATGGAAAACTATTATTGTACACCATCTTGTGTTTTATATCATTGTAAAACAGTTTCTTTTATAAGCTTTTTAGCTTAATTTTTCGTTTTTGTACTGATAATTCTTTTGACTCCTACAATGACTTTGCAAACATCGTACATAATACTAATACACCATTGTATGCCGCATTTTTTTCAAACAACTATTATTCTTATATATATATATATATATATTAGAGTTTTTAATTTATCACCCATCTTTATGTTTTTTTTTTTTGAAATATTTATATTAGAGTCATGAAAACAATCAAGTATGTCATCCCACAAACAATGGACTTAAAATATTCAACAAAAAAATTGAAGGACTTAAAATTGTTGCATTTCTCTTTTTGTCAAACGTTCTACAAAATTCTTCATCATCAATTAAATTTTTTTATTAAATAAAATTATTTATAATAATAATAAAACGTTATTCATTTGAAGAATGTTTTCAAGTATATAATATTTCAAATTAATTATAGGTAATAAATAAAACATTATGTTTTTTTTAATTCTTTGAAAAATACTTTCTAATTATTTTTCAAATTATAGTTGTGTGGGTGTATGTGTTTTTTTTATTTATTTGAAAAGGAATACCATTTCTATTTATGGTCAATTTAGGGGTATATTAATGGGTTTTATTGTAATTTTAATGTAAGATAAAATTGTAATACATATAATTATAATTTGGTGGGTGTATTAATAAATTTTGTGGGTGCAAATATAATTACTCTAGGTAGAATAACCCACAGGCCAAGCCCACTCAAATTCATCTATTGATCCAGCCCGACCACTAGCCACCCCACAGAGGGCCCAATTTCTCAACTTGGTATTTGGTGTGCATTCTTTTTTTTTTTTTTTTTGGTCAAATTTTTTCCTTAAATAAATTTCTTTGAAAAATCCACAAAAGCACCCGCGCAGTTAAGTTATTCTCTCGCTTACCAGGAAAAATTCAAACCCCAATATAAACAAAGCACCATCAAGTATAATTATTAAAAAGAAAAAAAAAGTGCGATAGAAATGAAAATTGCAAAGCAGCAGATTCATAGAAAACAGAATTTTATTCTAAAAAGCTAAAAGTTACTGAGGACAACACAGGAAGTTTTAACATGAAATATCTATTTAACAATAAAGATGATTAACCCAAAACTACAGACATCGGCTGACCTAGTTAATTCTTGATCGGTTATGGGACGCACCTTTACTAATGGGAAATGAAAAGCAAATTGCATTTACAAAACTCTACTAGTTTGAGAATTGAGCCCTTGAGAGGTAGAAAAGAAAGTAGAGACTAGTAATTAGTGCCTCCATGTCTCCATTTGAAGGGGGCGGGACCGCGCTTTTTCTTGCAAACTCTGCTAGAGAGTAGTCAGTTACATCATGCCATGGAAGCCAGCTGAATCCAAAAGCACCGCCTTGATTTGCTCCGGCAACACTTCCTGGCCTTCCCTACATTGCTGATAAGTGCAAAAAGAAAAAATAAACTCAGTAAGATTTTTTTGGAACTGCTTATTAAAGCACTTTGCACAAGAAAAAATAATAATGCAACTTGAGTTTTTGAAAATCAAAGCACTTTGAGCAGATACCGTTTTTAAATTATTTTGGAAACCTGAATTTTGGAATTGTTTATAAAGTTTGAGTGTCTATATATAGTACATCAATAAAGATCCACAACTGAATATGACAATTCCAATTTCAGGGCTTTCATAATTTCACCACTGCTTCGTATCTTCATGTTATTTCGTTTCCATAAAACAAGTTTTAAACAATCAGAAGCAACTATCAACTTAAACCTCAAATCAGAAGACTTCTTTAAGGAATCTAGGTGGCAATACGATTGCATATTAGCATTTGCAAGTTAAGAGATGAAACTTCACACCCGAAACTCATTAAACACATGAACTAAAAATTAAAATCTCTAAGCGCGGATAAGCATACCTCGGCTCGGAACACATCTAAAGCGAACCCATTGAAGCAACTTATAACAGCCTGCTGGATGTCCAACCCAAGGTTGTCCAAAGCCCTCATAGTGGAGAGCAAGAGACCCGGTCTGCGGGCGCAAAACATGTGAATGTTGACAGCTCTCCCTTCCCTCAGCCGAACCTCCACCTACAAGATACATAAATCATCCCCAAGCTCATCACGCTTACAGATTTCGAACTATATATATATATATTTAAAAAAAAAGTACTGTCTGAACATCTAAAATTTGAGTGTGTGTGTTCCGTAAAATTTTACATATAGACACCAATCGATCAATGAATCCATCCAATTACACGGATTTGCGATAAACACTAGAATATGTGATACCATAAATTTCATTCAGACCACTACAAACCTTGAATCAATGCTCTTGTTAAGTTCTCGCAGATCCAAACATTTAAAGAAGAACAAAAGAGACAAATTTCCAAACTCTTTCAGGCATCATGCTTTAGAAAAGAGATTTGAATGTTAAGGGACATCACAGCGTATGAAACATACCCTTGCAGGCTGGTTTTTAGGGCTTGGCATGGAGCCAGGGAATAGTTCTTCCTTGACACGGCATGGCAGGGTCGGCGGAGTAGGCGTCAAAGGGTGAAAGCTTGTAGAAGGCGGCAACAAAGAGCCCGGCGGGGTCGACTCCAGCTCATTATGCAGATCATTGATCCTCTGCAATAGCTCCTTCAAGTAGTCTATGGCATCCCCAAGAATTGAAGCTCTGTCCATCTGTGACCAAAATGGAAATATCAGCAGGAATCATGACTGATAAAAAGGGATTATTTGTTAATACAAAGACAACCTTGAGTTAGCCATGGAATTATTTAATAATTCAATTCTCAATAACGTATGGGTCAGAAAGATCACATTTTTCACATCAAGAGGGTAATAAATTGCTTCAAGAATTAGCGAAATCCCCAATACCAATTAAAGAATTCTCAATACAAAGTGATGATAAAAACACGTGAACCAAGTGATAAACAAATCATTATAAATCCCAAAAAATTCTAAAACGAGGAAGAAAAGGAAAAACACAAGTCTCGAGATGAAGAAAGCACATGAATTTTAAATTCAACCATACCTTGCTGATTTTGGGCACAACGGACCTAAGCATATAGAGCCTGTCATTAAGCTTCTTCCTCCGTCGTCTCTCCGCCATCAAATTCTTCGCCGGCAACCCCTTCTTCTTACCCTTCTGATCAACTCCACCGGTCACAGTACTATTCGCATTCGAATTGCTCTTCGCATTCTCCTCCATAGCTTTGCTATACTCATTCCCTTCGTCGGAATCATAATTCAACCCAGACATGTCAAGACTCGCCTCCTCAATCTCGCCCTCGTAATCACTCCTTTTCCTCCTCTTACCACTCTCCAACCCCGAAACCTCCAAGTTTCCCAAACTAACACTATCGCCACCGCCGGAGTTCTGCCGCAGCGCCGCCGCGCGTTTCTGGAACAGCGTCGGTTGGGCCCCCACCGGAGGGAAAACCTCCAGAGGCCGCAGAACCTTAGCCCTGTTCAGAAACAAAGAAGTGTTATTTGCGGAGCCATTGTCGAAACCCTCGAAATCCGCGGGGCTGAATCCGCCGATTGCGGCATCGGAGGAGGAGAGAGGAGGAGGAGGCGGTGGAAGAGGGAGAAACCGAGTCGTGGAAGCCCCGAACTCGGAGCTGGAACTCAGCTCGGAGTTGTTGAAACCCATCAGAACAGGGGAATTGGAGGAAGCAGGAGGACCGAGGAAAAATCCGGAACTCTCGCATGCGCTCAAATCGAAGCCGCCATTGTCGAAGTTGAGGAGAGAGGAGAAACAAGACTTTGGAGGGAGAAACGAAGGAGGAGGTTGGTGAGATTGGTCGAGAGGGAAGGGCTGAGAGGGAGAGCAGGAGGCGGAGGAGTCGATTGGCTGAAGAAGAAGACCGGCGTTGTTGTGGTCGCCGGAGAAGCCGCCGGCGCCGGCGTGGAGGTTGTTGAGAGGATTGGAGATGCTGTACCAGTCACCTTCAAGCATAGATTTGAAGGAAGAAAAGGAGGAAACAACACCTCCCATGGCGGCAGCCATGTCCTCTTCCTCCTTGTTGTTGTTGGTCTTCGTCCACGACGACGACGCTTCCTCTTCGTCGCCGTCCATCCAAACGGCGCCGTTCGACCTCGGTAGCATTATCAACCAAGAAAAAGAGAGAGGGAGAGAGAGAAATGGTTTTCAGTTACAGAGAGAAGATGAGGGAAAAGAAGAAACGTAAAGGAAAGGGACTTTTATTCAAGCTTCAGAGCTTTTGTTTTTTTTTTTTTTTTTTTCCTATCTGTTTTCTGAGAAGGAAGGAAATGAAGAGAGAGAGAGAGAAGTATATAATTGTATTTTTATTGGTATATGTAGGAGTGGGAATGGATGGCTACTGCAAATGAATGGAGATGGAGAGAGGAGTGTGGTTTATCATCTTAATTGTGTTCTCTTGCTGTGCTTTCCTTCTGCTTTCTCTGCTCTTCTGTTACCTTTGTCTGTTTGCTTTTGCTCTTCCTTTTTTACCATTTTCCCCTTCGGACATTTTTACCCCTCCAGAATCTGTTATTATTATGCTTTATTTAACTGTTATTTAAGTTTAGGTCACTTTGGGTTTGATGGAATATAATCAGACTAGGAATAGGAATATAAAAGTATCTTTAATATAATATTATAATTAAGATGTTAATTATAAATTTAATTAAAAATCATTCTCTAATGTAATATTATTTATTATATTAAATTTTTCATATGTTATGTTTTACAGTAAATTTTTTAATAAGTAGTGTATTGGTTAAAATGTTTATTTTTATTAGTTGAAATGTTTACTTTTTAAAATAATCATTATAATTTTTAAAGTTTAATGATTGTGACAAAAAGTAAATTTATCGTTTCAAATAGCATTATATATTGGAACAAAAAATAAAAATCACACACCATATCATACTTTTTGAGGGAGTCTCTACAGTGAGGCCTTTAAAAAAACAAAAAAAAAAAATTTGGTAGAACACTTTGTTTTGACCGTTAGATTAAATTTTTAACGGTCAGATTTGCACATATCTGAATTAAAAATTTACAGCGTGCCGCACATAATTGCTCCCTTTGTAGATTTGGATGTTAAAAAAGTAATCCAACGGTCAAAACAGGGTGTTCCACAATTGTGTTTTTTAAGAGGTCTCATCGTAAATAAACCATTTTTAATGCGAAATATACAATTAGTATTAACATTCACATTGAATACACAAATTCCATTATTTAGTTGATCATCAGAATTAATATTGGAATCACAATTATTATGTTTGATTAGTCATTATAAATATAAATATAGTGGAATAATATTTGTTTGACTAAAATATCCCTTTATATAATCATTAATAATATTTAAAAACTAAATTCAAATACTATCTTCAGTTTTTTATTTTTAAAGTCATTTTTCTCTGATGTTTAAGGTGTATATTTTATTTGATATATGACTAATATTCAAATAATCAAATATGATTAATTACTCAAATAATAGAATAAAAACTATATAGATAATATACTTAAAAGCATGAATAACATAGTCTCAAATGTATTGCCCGTGACTAGAACGACACAACAGTAAAACATAAACCAAATAGTGTGAGTTGGTTTTTTTATTTTTTTAATGAGTTGTATTAGGGTTAATAAAAAAATATTTTTATATTGAGATGGTGGTATTTAAAGTAAATTTTAGAACATAAGGAGGGATAATTTAAAAAGAGATTATATTAATTAATATCAGTTTTAGAAATTGGTTCATTTTAGGAATTATTTTTCAACTATTTGATGGAATAACAATTACATAAGAATGACAATTCCTAAGTATAACCAAACATAAGAGTGCTTGGATTTTAAGATTTATCATTATATTTCAATGGTCAACCAAGCAAATCGAACGTAACCCTAAGACTTGTTTGGTAAATAGGTTCAAACATGACGTTTTGAACTTTTGTGGTTTGAAATGAGAAGTTTAAAATAAGTGGTTTGAACTTTTGGTTTAAAACATTGAAGACAAGGGGGACTATAAACTCAAAATTCTTAAAAAAAATTTAGAACTTTCTCCGATAGGCCTCCCTACCAATAGTACCAACTTCTGATCATTAGATTTGATCAAAATCTCATCAGATAAAAAAAGTATGCAGAATAAACAACTTACAATGCATATTTGATGGTTGAAAAATAAATAATTATCAATAATTTTTGTTAGTCTTACAAAAAATTTCCATTTTTTTGTTCAAACACCACACCATTAATTTGGATCAAGTCTCAAAAAGTTGTACCAATCTTTGGTTAGAAACAACTTTTTAGTTCAAAACACTTTAACTTATTTAACAAGCATGTTTATCTTGAGTTCAACTTTAAGTGCTCTATTCTCTGAACAAATTTGAAAATTTTTCCCAAAAATTGTTATCACACTAATATTTTTATGTTCTGTCATCAAATTTTCAGCGTTATATAGGCCTCATTCATTAAATGACTCAAATTATATTGTTACATATTTTTTATCACAAAAATTGAAATTTAACTTTTTTACTATAATATTTTTCTCTCACATACACAACTTAAGTCATGACTTGAGTTATGTAAATAAACATACCCATAATTTATTAACTGTGGGTTAAAATTGTATTTTAAAAAACTTTAAGGTGGCTATACATTTAAAAATAAATATTGAGTGTTAAAGCGAGACAAATACATATATCTTTAGGGACTATTTGGGTAAATAATCTTATATTTTTAGTGTCCTTTTACTCTTTCGTCCTCGGGACAAATTTACCCCTGCAAAAGCAGTTATAATTACGCACGTCTTTTCTAAAGTTGTTATGTTTATCTTTTTCTGTTTTGTTTCCTCAATTTGTCAGTTTATGGCGAAATGTAACGGCTGAAAAAGAACTATCTAGTCCTACGCGGAGGAAGAGCAAAATGACTTGTCAAAAACAACACTCTCATAGAGAAGATATGTTAGCATCTCATAGATTTCATAATTGGACGTGGGTCCATCCAATCGGACGGCTGTGATGTGAGAGTCAGTGATATTTGTTACTAATATTTAATTAGCTACTAAATAACGCTTTTATGCATGCATGTCTTCAAGATAACTGATACGATATGATTGTTACAAAAGTGAGTAGACGTTATTAATGCCAAATAAAATATTGCTATATATAGTTATACATTAATTAAACTTCTTGTTCTTGTCAAGTTTTAGATATTAAATGAGAAGATTTCTGTATGATTCAATAAATTTAAATGTTCAGAAATATATGATGCACTATATGGTAGATTTCTCATCATATATATATATATATATATATATAGAAAGCTCTGGTGAGTTAACATGCAGTGAAATTTCGAATTCGGTAAGTACAATATGTAAACGTGTTAACTATATATGCAACTCAATATCTAAAACATCAGTAATTAAGTCACACATTAGTCCGTATAATCTAGAATGTTGCAACTTGCAAACAACTTGATTAGTAGTTCTTATTCTTACCAAATATAATGGCAAATATTGGAAGTAAATTACGCAACTCTGTGCAAGCAGAAACTTGTGTTGGCAGATGGCGGTTTTGATTCTTTTGAACGCTATATACGGGAAGAAAATTTTAAAAAATAATAATAATAAAAGAGAGATAAGAGAATCAAAAGTTCTCCTCCATCTACACACACACACACACACACACACACATATATATATATATATGTATGTGTATATATATATTAAGCTCTTTGTACACATAACATATAGTAAATACACACGTCTTAAACTTAACTGTTTTGTCTTAAAGCTTTATATTTTATTCTCAAAATCTATATTAATTTTATTTAAGATTTGCATCATGAACTATTTTGCCCATGATATTGATCATTCTTCATATATATTTTTTTGATATTTTATTTCATATAGCTGTAATTTTTTTTTTTATGAATAATGAATAATGATGAATATTCATCTAACATATTTACGCGGTAAGTATGGGAATCTGATAATTGCACATGAATCACGAACATGAATGACGTCGGATGCTATTATTGACTAGAGTTGATTTTGAAGGCGAATATATAATAATCTTTGAATTGCTTATGACAAACGTACATATTCAAATTGTTGATGGTCATGATCAGCTAGCCCTTGAAATTTTCAAGAGACACAATCGAGCATTTAGTAGTTTTGATTTCCTCTTGCTTTTATAATTAATGAATAGAAGAAGCAAACCTAAAAATAAATAAAAATATAAAATGAAGAGAGATTTAATGCGGTGGCCATAAAGGAAATGGGAAATGAATAATGCAATAATATTGTTAAAAGTGGACCCACAATTAGATGAAGAGATCAAGTGTGGTGGGTTTCCCATCCCATAGAAGGATAATCCCATATATATGCCATTCCTGCCATGCAACTCCTAAAAGCTAAAAACTCTTTAATTTGCGGAATAAATTTTCCACTACGCTAGCCAAGTTTCTCGTGACTCCTCTCTATTCACCGCACCTACTCTCAAACCTCTCTAAGCTCCAACTTACAACTCCGAAACTTCCCGGCTAAAGATTTTGTATCGATATTGCGTGTTTTGAATGTCAAATCATACACCATTACCACAAAATACGCATTCATTTTATGAAAAGTCCTGACGGTTTCAAACTATACATTATACAATTTTGATTTCGAGAGTGTTGTTCCTACATTATACATTACACTCCTCCCTTGATCCCTAATACTCTAATTATTCAATTCAACTCTCTTTTTGCTCCTCTTCCCACTTGCCATATCCCTCTCAAGTATGCAACCAAACGTATAGCCTCGTTCGTTTCGCTGATTCGAGTTCAGAATTCGAGTTGAGATGTGATTTTATGTGAGAACTTTTTACTGTAGTAAAAAAGTTAGATGTGACTGTTTGTGAGAGCTTTTTACTGTAGTAAAACTCGAATTCTAAACTCGAATCAGCGAAACAAACGAGACCGCAATCAACTTTCAAACTCTTGAAAGTCGCTTACGTGGCTTCTCCACCGCGACATCGATCTATGTGGGTCCCACCACAACAAATGAGATCATGAACGCTAATTAGCAGCCAAATTCGCCCATGATATATGCTCCTCGCCAACCTCTTCCTTTTGCAGCCTTTTTTTAAGCATCGATGATTATTTAAGACGCAATAGAGAGAGAGAAGCCGAGAAAATTTTATGGACACCTTGAACTGACCAAAACTCTATATAGTATAGTCCCATATGCCAAAGCGATAACAATAACAATAATAACAGCAATGATAATAATGAATGCCGTATTGAATCGCAATAACAATAATAACAGCAATGATAATAATGAATGTCGTATTGATTGATGGTCTTAGATGTGAGAACTTTCAAGTTTGAAGCAAAGCACAAAAGTGGCCTTGCATTGGCAGCCCTGAATTTCTTCCCTTTTTATTTTTATTTTTATTTTATTTTATTTTTAATTTCTCAAACTTTTATAACTTATACTTAGAGACCTCTCTATTCACGTGACTCTACTACTACAGCAGATGTTACATAAGTGTAGTCTGTCTCTGGAGATTTGTAGACGTGGCACGCATGCAACTAATCTAGACAGACGGAGAGAGAGAGAAGTGGCCACTAATTGTTATAACTATAACCAAACTAAATTAAGAATTATTCAATTCGCTGATTTGAGTTTTTAATTTAATTTTATGTAAGAATTTTTTATTATAACAAAAAAGTTAGATGCGACTGTTTTTTAAAATTTTTTACTATAATAAAATTTAAATTTTAAACTCGAATCGCTGAAATGAACGAGGCATATATATATGATTGATACTTTATAAAACTATGGCTGCTACTGTACTACTATTTGTCCTTAGCTAGGAAAATTGCATCCAACACCAAAATCATAATAATATGGTTATACTCGCCGCTTGGTTGTGTTTTCTGACTGGCGCGCGGTTTGTCCCGGTACCAAGTACTGCGAATAAAAGGAGATTATCATGCAAATTGTTATGATATATAATACGATTCATTATTTGATTCATTATATATAGATTTAACAATAGGAAGCCCGAAGAGAGCCATGATATATACATATAGATACATATTAGTACTCACACGCACACACATATACATATATACATATATATGTCAGAATTAGTCTCCATAGTAAGAGTGCTAACCAAGATAACTTCTAAACTAACAATCGTTATGTATGTATCTTGAATTTTGGTTTTCCTAAAGTTGAGTGAGAGGAGGAGAAGAGTTCGAACGTTTTGCTGATATTAATTCGGTTAAGCGCAATCATGATCTGTCTGAAAAGAACCATATTATGATAAAATAACTATCTGAAACTGCACAGAGAGATTAAACACAATCATCACTTAAATAACTATCTGACTAAGCTACCAACAAGCTGACACGTGTTCAAATACTCTAATTACCAATATTGTTACAATTGAGTGGTGTAACCAATTCTGACTACATGAACAAAGTAATTATCTCTGCTTAATCAATATTCCAAACCATTTCTTAGGTCAATATCACTATAAATGATCAGGCAAAACTTGGTTTGTTTAATAAAAAGATTTACTTGAAAAAAAAAAAAAAAGTATTTATATAAACCAAGAAAAGTTATATATAATTTTAGCCATGCGTTATGATTTTGATTGAAAGTACAATATATATTATATATATGTGTGTGTATATATATATATATACACACATATATATAGCAACACTAGGGCAATACAAGAAGAATATTATAAGCTCTTTTGAATTGCCCCAATGTTGAGGGACCCGGGGGGACAACCTCATTAATATGTGGATAGTGTCTCTCGTGACCAAATAGAACCACACACAACTTAGCCAATTAGTACTACTCCAATAACTTTGCTCCCCACCACATTTATTATTTATTCATTTCAATTTTTGAACTCAAATGCTGCTTTCCTTTCTTCCCTCTCTTAGTTTCTACTTACCCTTTTTCATTTCAAATTACATATTAATTATGTCAACTTTCATTTCCATATTATACTTAGTTACGGCTTGCTTGGAATTGTTTTTGTGAAAGCTACTTATAAGTGTTTGTTAAAGCACAACTAGCAAAAAATAATTAAAAAAAAAAAAACAAGTTTCGTAAAACATGCTTATATAATACTAAATAATATTACTTCTTAAATTAATCCAAACTATAGAATACAAGTAGTGCCACATATATCCATACGTGGCTGCCCTAATAAAAAAGGTTCCATAAAGAAAGAGGGGTAAAAAGACACCACCATAAAGTAACAACGTTTTATGATTGCAAAATTTGATCAAGGATAGGTAATTTTATATCTTTGTAGCAGGTGAACCCTCCATCCACAACCAGGTTATGACCTGTTATATACTTGGATTCATCTGACGCCAGATATACAGCGGCTTGGGCCACATCCATTTCCTCACCCTTGGCTCCCTTGAGCTCCCCAAGCCCATTCACAATTTGGGCCACTTGCTCCGTAGTCGCACCTGGATAAAATTGGGCTAATTGGCCCACAGAGAGTGGTGTCGGAATAGGGCCTGGGGATATGCAGTTGATTCGGACCCCTGTTCGGCAGAGCTCCGAGGCCACAAACTTCACTATCCCGGGTATTGTATATTTCGATATTGTGTAGGAGTGCGGCCCAAGACCACCCAAAAGCCCGCTCATGCTTGACGTACACAGAATGGATCCCGAGCCCGTGGGAATCATGAATCGGGCCGCGTGCTTTATCCCCGCTACTGTTCCCCAAACGTTGATCCGCATGACCCGATCAAAAGTATCGAGATCGAGCTCGGCGATGCTCGGTGGGAGCACCGGACCTACTATCCCGGCATTGTTGTACATGATATCGAGCTTTCCGTGGAGGCCCACAGCCGCTTCAACGGCTCCGGCAACTTGGGCCTCGTCCGTAACATCGCACTGAACAAAGTGGGCTAATGGGCCTAGGTCCTTGGCGACTTTGGAGCCCAACTCAGTATTGATGTCCGCTATTATGACTTGGGCCCCATTCTGAATGAACTCGTGGGCCGTGGCCTTTCCTAGCCCACTTGCACCCCCTGTTATTACGGCTACCTTTCCTTGTAGCCTATTGCGAGGAAGAGAACAAATATCAATAATAGGCACGGAGAAAATAACACACATTGATTCGTATATATATATAAGCGCATAGAAAACAAAAATAGTCTTCTTATCATCTGAAAAAGAGGAGGCCAGAAGGTGGCATGCGAGAATAACGAATGTTTACAATGAATCAATGATGACGATGGTGATGCCTAATCTTCATCACCGTCCAATCAACAACATTATCTCGGGTTGTCTGATTAAAGTTGTGGACCGCTTTTCCTTGCATCCAAATTCAGTGATTGACCAAAAAATATAGATAAATCGACAGACCGTAATCATTAGTCCATTATCAATTTTGACAAATATTCTGTGTCAAGATTTTTATTTTTTATTTTTAATTTATAACGTTTTTAATTAAATAATTACACTAATAAATGAATATTTATTAAAAGTAAGGGATAAAAATTTATACACATACACTCTTAAGAATAATTTTTTTTTTAATTTTAATTTTAATTTTTGGCACTAGAAAAAAAATCAAGTTAATATATAGTTTCTAAAGACACTGGGCAATTCTCAAATAATGTAATAGAAATTATAATATTAATGGGTTGTTCTCAATGGTATCTTATAACATTTTTCTGTCAAATATTACCTAATTCCAACTATTTTTGGTACTGTAATTTTTTGACTAACATAGCTGACATCAAATATTTCAAAGCAATAATAACTAGGTCGAATAGAGGCAAGTATGTGAATTCAAAGGTGAAGAAGTTTGTGAATTCAAAAGTGTTGAAGATTTGACAGTACTACTACCAACACCAAAGAATATAATTGATGTTCTAATAATGCATGCATAATGACAGTTGACTAGGATTTCAAATCATAAAAAGGAAAAGTAATTACTAGCTAGATCTACGGCATAAGAACATGCAAATTCAAAGCCATTGCATGTGATCCACAAAATAGCAATCATATAAGGACAGCTATCTCTTTCAGACCTGTGTCAATTTTAAGTGCATAAATCATAATAATATACGTGTGTGTCACATCCACAAATTCAGGAGACCTCAATTCTTGTCATTTATGGGATTAATGCCCTCATCTCCAGCTGGTATTTTTTTTCAATTTTTTTTTTTTAAAGAAAAAATATGTACATCTTAGACCTTTAATTGAACAGGTCTCAGTTAATCTAAGTGTCAAATTAATTCTAAATGGTTACTTTTATGAACCTACTATATATTACTTTGCATGTGCATGTGCATGCGCCGTTATATAATCATTTTGAAAATTAATAAAACTACGTTAATTAGTGAGTAGAAATAAACTCTGGAATAAAAACTTACAATTATTCTCTTGAAAAATATATATATATATATA